ACTTAGTTTGACTTCCAGTGACAATTTGAGATAGTGAAGAGCTTGTTCATGTTTACTTTGGTCTTCGTAGACAGCTCCTATATTGTTATATATTGACGCAAGATTCTCGTGATATTTTGGTAGGACGGCTTGTGCAATATCCAGAGCTCGTGAATGATATTCAAGTGCTGTTGTATGTTCATTCAATGCCGAACAAGCACTGCCTAAATTCGTATATGTACTAATAAAATATGGTGATTCAGATGTCATCACTGTTAATTTTGTGTTCACTTGTTTTTCCAAATATTCTACTGCTTTTTTATATGATCCATTTTGAAAGTGTAAACTACCGATATTACCATAAATATCAGCGATGATATCGGTTTTTAAAGAAATAGAACCTTGAGAATGAATAATATCAATAGCTTGTTCATAATACATTATGGCGACTTCTTGATTTCCTAGATCTTGATAAGTCAATGCAATATTATTAAAGAGACGAAAGAAATCGAGATGATTTTTTGGTAAAACACGTCGAAAAACATTCGACGCTTTCTCGTAATAGATTAAAGCTTCGTCATATTTTCCACAATGATAATAGTTTTTTCCAAGACTAAAGTGTATAAAACCAAGCATTCTACTGACGTCTTGAGAAATCGTTTTTAAATGATTCAATTCTATAAACAAAGCTTTTTCTAGAAAGGTACGGGCAGTTGCGAAATCACCTTTCACATCACCATAAACTCTTCCTATGGCACAAAATAGTTGGGCAAATAGAAAATGACTTTCAGGCAAATATTGACGCCATATTTGTTCAGTTTTGAGGTAATAAACCAGTGCTTGCGTATTATAATCTATTTTATCAAAGAGATAACCTAAGCTGAGATATGAGGTGCCCACCAAAACATGATTAACTGGTTCGGCTTTCAAACGTTGTTCCAGCGTACTTTCTATTAATTTTAAAGACTTAAAAATTTCACCATTGTCTGCATAGATCGCACTCAAAGTATGATAACAGTCAGCTAAACCTGGATGATCAGATGGTAAACTTTGCGAATAGATCGAGATAGCTTTTTGAATGTATTCAATACCCTCATCATACTTGCCATCTTTATAATACACTTTAGCTACGTTTAAATAAACGTCACCAAACTTATGGCTATTTGATGGTAGGTGTCCTTTAAATATTCTCAGAGCTGATTGAAAAAAGTTCATAGCATCTTCATGTTGATCTTGATTACCATAAATAACGCCCAGAGCCATGTATAATGCGGCGAAATCTTGCATTTTATTACGATGCATCTCATCAATGAGAATTCCATCGATTTCATTTACCATCATTGACATTGTTTTTGTTAGAAATATCTGAGCATCCTTATATCTACCACTTATAATCAACAAGAAAGCAGCATTAATGCACATGCTGGATAACATTGGTAGTAATGGGCGTGGAATAAGTTTGAGACACAGTAGATAACATTTAAACAGACTATTGAAGTCAGTATCACCACTCATCATACTGCACGTAGCAAAATTATTGTATTGAATTGCTGTGTCCAAATTAATTGGCGACAGAGATAATTGAAGTTGATTTGCATATATTTGAGCTGCTCGATGGGATTCTCCCATGTAACCTAAACATGTGGCAAAATCATTAATACTTAGTCGATTATGAGATTTTAGATTTGGTAGAAATTGATATACATTTTTTATTTCAACAGAATTTTGATTGCAAAGTGTTAGTTTAATAATCCAAACATCATCTTGTCGTGTTACAGAATCAATAAAAAAGATAGCACCTAATTCAAGAAGAATTTCTTCTTCGTCCGGATTCCAACTATTCATGTGGATGTTAGCATAGGGTAATGAACATGTATCCGTTTGAATGTCGATTTCGAATAGAACTGATTCAAGTTGAGGTCGTCTTGCGCCTAAACCAGAAAATATCAACGAAACTTCTCGATCGTTCGATGTTGACAGAAATGTATTCATCGAAATATAATATCCCACATTTCGTTTAAGTCGATCTAATTCTCGAATAGACATCAGTTGACCACGATAGACTTTCAATACGTATGGGAAAAGCTCCATATCTACCAGACACTGAAGATAATCACAGTGTAGTTCAAGTAATTGAATGCGAATATCAACCAGTATGTAGCGCAATTTATAGATATAATCAATATTTTCAGATCGAAGAATTTTGTTAATTATACGAAATAAAAATGAATCTCTTGTATACCATCTAATCGCTTCTTCCGATCGATAATTGAGTTCAAACTCATTAATCTTCTCTTGTTCAATTTTATCATTGGCATAACATAATCGACAAAATTCAATCAATTCTTGTTTTGCTTTATTTTCTTCAGGCATGTGAAGAAGAATTTCTAAAATATATTGAAACCACATGAATTTTACCGATTGTTGTGTCAGATCTTTGCTCGATTTTCCACCTTCTATTGAAGAAGTGAATATATTGAATTTAGTTGTATTCTCGGTACAAAATCGGACATCATCGATAAGTTTGACGAAGAGGTCTTGTTCATTAATGAAGACAGCACGATTATTTTTTGAATAGGCATCATTTTTTAATAACAACGACGATGTCATGATGTAGAGAAATGTAATTTGTACAAGTTCATTTGCTTTATCAAGAATAGTGGAATCATCAAATGAATCAAGTGAAATAATAAGAATGATATGATCAACATCACTATTAATAATATGATTGAAACATTCGTCGACATCAAAAAATGTTTTTAAATAAGAAGTTATATGTTGAAATCGTATTTTTGCTTCGATGTGTTTGTCTGTATAAAAAAAAGTTTTATTGAGCCAAATTATTTCGAAATTCTCGAGTTTTTCTATATTTATTGATGATGATGCGTTTTGATTCACGTTTGTCTCCTTCGCATCCATTGCGTTATAATGATTGCCTCATTTTCTATATGTTCTGTGTCATGCACGAACGCATCATCACATTTTACTTTCTTCTCCTTCTCTCTTACATTGATTCACGCTATTTTCATATTCTACGTGGTATTATTTTTGGTAGAAAACGCGCACGTGTTTACAACACCGAAAAACAAAATGAATCATAGGCGATATAATGTATAAAGCAACCGATAAAAAGTCATCCGTTACATAAAATTCGCATCATTTTGTTTCCGTTTCTTAACAATATCTTCAACATGGACTTAAAGTCAAGAGAATCTTTGACAAAAAATATATATATTGATATTTATTAAAGCTGGCCAGAATAAGTCTTTTTCGTACACAAACTCTATTCTACCTTATGCAGCTGTTATCTTAACCTTATCCTAAGCTTTTATTAGCTTGTACCGAAGTTGCAACTGGTAATGATGAATGATGGGTTCGGACCGAAAGAGATTTTCTTGCCGACTGTTCTGGATGTTTTTTCAGTTTTTGCATAACTTTTCTCCAAAAGAATCGATCGTAGAAGTATTTTTCTCTGAGCTTCAATACTTTTTACTTGTTCTTAAGAGCCGAGCTGGAACCAGTTGACCAACGTCAACTCTGCTTAAGGCAATCTTTATGAGGAAATGCATATTAGAGTATCTTTGTAAAGTGAAACTCAATCATACTACGATTGATGTACTTTGCCAACTCTCTTTCATATCAATTTATTTTATCGAAATAAAATCCAATAGCTCTTATAGTGATTATTCATAAAATTCTTTATATTTCTTGCTATTTATAGGGTATAGACCACAAAAATATAAGAGATAACGAAGTAAATATCACATGGAAGACAGCAGATATGTAGAATGTTTACAGTACCTATATCGAATGAACAGTTTGTCAATGAGCAAATATAATATAGAATTTGTAGTATCATGGAAGCGTCCATAAAGAATGTTCGGCCAGAAATCGCTGTTTTGACTCGTTTCTCCTACACTCTATCGAACGTATCCGATTCTTCTACTGTGGGCATCCGTTGTTAACAATTTTTTTTAAAGAAAATGTGTTAGCGTGGGTGTTACTATAAGTGACTAAGAAATAAATCCATCGCAATACGCACAGTCTTCAAAAAGGAAATAAATTTCGTCATGGTCAACCGTACACCTTTTATTGGAGACATATCTATTCAACACCTTATCAAATTTTGTGCTAAAATGTTTATTTTGGTTGAAGATTATCAATCCAACGATTAAACAACATGATCGCAAACACGCACTAACAAAGAAAACATTACAATCACAAAACTCATCTCACTTTCAAACCTAATCATAATTTTTCTTTCGTTTTTCTCTAATTATCAATATCAGATCTCAGAAT